CCGAGTCAGGTTCCACACTGATCATGGAGCCTGCTTTAGATTCTCTTTCTCTCTCTCTCTCTCTCCCTCCCTCTCCCGTGCTCACTCTCTCTTAAATACATACATACATACATACATACATACAAAAAAAACCTTTGAAAAGCAAAATCTTCCTAAATCTGCAAGATTTTAGGAATGACTCTACTGGTCATCAGGTCCATCAGGTCATCAGGTTCTCAACATTCAATGTTTTCTAAACTTACTTGATTCTACCATGAAGAAGCAAAAGACCCATCTCTTTACAGAAACTCTAACAAGTGTTCAAGGTCACAAGAATCTACTGCAGTATTTTTGTAAGTAAATTTTATTCCAAGGGCTTTAGAATTTTTTTTAATTTTTAAAAATAAAAAAATGGTAGCAGTATCATCAAGTATAAATGTAAACAGCTAAGATAACTATAAAATACAAATAATTGACTATTACACACACAAAACATGTTTGTAGGTAGCAGACAAAATGGCACTACCAATTTTGTACGAAAGCTCATTCTCTAAGGATTATGCCCTGCAATTGTGGTACCATTCAATCCACATACCTTCAGACTCAGTTAACCACTTTCAGATGCTTCCCACCTCCATTCACCAAAGACTGAGATCAAGCTTATAATAAATTTCTTCGTAATCCTAAAAGATTCATCATCCATTTAGATGATCCACCCAGGCTCAAAAGTCTTTAAGGTTCATTTCTATTCAACTTTAGCCACCCACTTCCAGCGACACACTAAGTTCTCACATCCCAAGACTGCTCTACCTTGGACATTTTAAATTCCAGCATGCTATTCCTTGATCACCTTTATTCTTTCGTGAGCTTATTCCCTCCACTTTCTCCCTTCTCTTGGGCTCCTCACTTTTCTTCCTTCCATGCCCAACCTCGATTTCATGATGTATCATCTGAAGCAACACCTTTGATTAGAATCCTTACCCTTTTCTTATATCTAATCTAACCCAATACCAGTTATAAATTCACCTTCTTCACGAAGATGGTTGAGCACAAATAGAGAAAAATCATGAGTGACCCATCACAGGATCCATCTTTGGGAAAACTGAGTTAGCCTCATTCCTACTCCCATTTTTTTAGGTGTCAAACATGAATCAGGTTGAGCCAATCTGATAACAGTGATAGGTTCAGGGACAAGCATTTGATCTGAGACAGTCTAATCAGTGTGAATATTTAGATTTTTTATTGGCAATGCTAGGAAAAACATTATCAAAGTTATCAAGGACATATTTAGGTTACCTGGACCTTCACAAGAAATCAACCTTAAGGTAAAGCTGACATCAAAGATATGAAAGAAATCTGATCCTGATCACTGGGCTCATTGGGCCACTGGTTCCAGGCTGAAGCCAGGGAATCCCACTTAATCTATCAATTTTTTAGTTATATATATCAATCAACCTTCTTTCAGCAAGGGTTTCAATTGTATTTTCTATTGATAAGCACAAAAATCCTGATACATAATATTTTGGTTGAGACTGTCTCAACAAATTATACTAACACCTTGGTTGACATCCAGTTGCCAATTTTAGTCTCAACTCCCGGTTATCAGTAATCAGAGCTTCTTTCTTCCTCTAAGCCAGTACCTTGCTCACAGCAGATGCTCAAAGAATATTTACTGAACCAAATAAACAAGGCAGGATCTAGAACAGGCATCTGAGAGGGGTGTATTATCCAAAGTTGAACAATATTGTCTTCTAAAAGTAGTAAAATCAACTTTGAGACAATGTTTCTCAAACATTTTTGGCTGCAATCACAATAAACGGCTTTATATCATGATTAGTACACACAAAAATCTATAAAACGAAAAATAAAATTCAAAGAACACTTATGCCCTACTACATGTGAAGCACTCTATTTTCTCTTCCATTTTTTAAAATGACTCATCATTACCCATCAAACTGATCTCACAGTGCTCTCGCTGCTCACAAGGATGATGATCTATATATATTTAAAAAACACAGTCCTAGCAGTTCTCTTGAATCGAAGTGGGAAACTTCTATGACTTGCTAGTAAACAAATCAGCCAGAACAAATAACACAGAAGAAAATAAAATACCCTCATTCAGGCACTCTTGCATGTAGATTAGATCAAGAGCCTCATAAGTGCTTCTTACTTACTCTTCCTCATCATGCAAGAATTAGACTCTCAGTGTTATTATCTTGGTCAAGTCTTCACAGTGGTCCTCAGTCTGTAAGGCTCAGATGTTAGACTAGAGATCAGAGTCATGGCAAGGAATCCACTAAAACATACCAAACACTGCATGTAGAATGTAAAGTAGTTCAAGCATACACACAATGACAACTATTTGTCAAAGTTACCTAGATGTATTTCTCAATTAAGAGTTAACTAAAATTTGGGGCGCCTGGGTGGCTCAGTCAGTTAAGCGTCCAACTCTTGATTTTGGCTCAGGTCATGACCTCACAGTTCACAACACTCAGCCAGCCCCACATCAAGCTCTTCTCCTTCTCTCTCTGCCCCTCCCCCACTTGCTCTCTCTCTCTCTCAAAAATAAACATTAAAAAAAAGTTATTAAAATTTTTATCTCTTCTCCAAAACCTTTAATTTTTTTGAGATGTTAAACCAGATACCATCTGCAATTAACAAAAATTGCTTTTCATAATCTGGAAAATTGGTTGCTAAGTAGTTACTAATGACACCACATCACCAGCTCATTACCATTACCATAAGCAACCAAACCCTATCATGTAAGGGATCTACAAAATCTTTTGCCCAGAGAAAGAATTCCTAACACTAATTAAAGAGAGAGACACAGAGACAGAAACTGAGAGGCAGAGAAGAAAAAGAAAACACTGGAAATCACTAATTAACAGGATGGATCAAAAAACTAACTTTGCAATGAGGCGCCGGGGTGGTTTGGTCACCTGGGTGGTTTGGTCGGTTAAGCAACCACTCTTGGTTTCAGTTCAGGTCGTGATCTCTCATGGTTTGTGAGCTTGAGCCCTACATCTGGTTCTGCGCTAGCAGTGTGGAGCCTGGTTGGGATTCTCTCTCTCCCTCTCTCTCTGCCCCTCCCCTGCTGTCTCTCTCTCAAAATAAATACATAAACATTAAAAAAAAAACAAAAACAGGGGCGCCTGGGTGGCGCAGTCGGTTAAGCGTCCGACTTCAGCCAGGTCACGATCTCGCGGTCCATGAGTTCGAGCCCCGCATCAGGCTCTGGGCTGATGGCTCAGAGCCTGGAGCCTGTTTCCGATTCTGTGTCTCCCTCTCTCTCTGCTCCTCCCCCGTTCATGCTCTGTCTCTCTCTGTCCCAAAAATAAATAAACGTTGAAAAAAACAAAACAAAACAAAACAAAACCACTAACTTCGCACTTAAATCCCTCTGTACCAACATTATTTTGATCATGGCCAACCTTATCTCCTGCTATACCCAACAGAAATCCTCCATTCCTGACAAATTAATGTTAATAAGTTTGCTGACATAAAGATTCACACTAACTTTCCAGCTTAATGTTTCCTCCGCCCAGAATCCCTTACCTTCTCTCTAACAATGCAAACCCTACTTCTTCCTGAAGGCATGCCTTCACATCTCCCTCTATCCTTCTATAGATGTGTAGTGCACAGAAGTTGTTTGATAGCATCATAAAAATAATTGTGTTAATGGGTTATTCTAAAGATAAAAGATAAACAATTATAAAAGCATTTTGGAGGTTTCAAGGTTTTATTTTCCAAATAGCTTTAGGTTAAAACAACAAAAATCAGTAATAAAAAAAATTGCTACTGCAAACCAAATGACAATCTTTAGAAATGATCTATCTGGAAAGACTTCCTGAAGAAGTCTTCAGGACACACTTGGATTACTGTCACTCTCCATAACAGCATCTTCAAAACAACGTTCCTTTAATTTAGAGTGGATTTATACTTAAACAACAATTCATTTCTGGGGTTTTGAAGTTATTTGGCTCTACTGTCTATAAGATGGAGAAATACCCAAATACATAAAGCCTAAAAAGTCAAATTAGACTAAAGACATTTTAAACTAAAGTGTGCAATACATTATTGTTGTCTATACTTATGATGTTGCTAGACAGTCTTCAAAGACCCTCTCCCTACTCATCACCGGTGGTGGACCACAATGGCCATTTGTTACGATCCCTTCAAGTTTATGGGCTTTTTAAAAAATATTTAAAGAATTTAATCATTTTAACTTTTGAAAAGCAGTGAAAACCTCTATGCCAAGATGGAATCAAAGTATTTAGCTTCCAGGTATGCTTTCTTCTTAAAATAATATTTAAAGTTCAGAGAAATGCCAGAATGGTGTAATGGAAAAAAGCTTGAGAATGGGAGATCTCAGCTATGATAATAATTAACATTTATTTAGTCTCCACACAAGCCATTACACTAAATGCTTTACATCCATTATTTTTGCGTAATCCACACGGCAAGCTAAGCTATTATTACTATCACCTTTGTCATCCCCACTGTACAGTTTAGACACTGAGTTTTTAAAGATAACAAGTCCAAAGTCATAAGTGGTTGAGCAGGCCACTTGGAAGTGGCACCTGGACATAGTTAAATCCTTGCTCTTAACTACTACTCGACTAATCTTGTGACTTTATGCAAGTTCCATATCCACTCTGGGCCTCAGTTTCCTCATCAGTGAAAATAAAGCAAGAGTCTTTAAGTTCCTTCCAGCTCTGTCTAGCTTCAATATTATGAAGCTTACAACCTCTCTGAGCTTCAAACAAGCCAGTGTCATCACTTCTTTTAATTGAATTCAACTACAACAGCATTTACGAGCCACCTCCTAAGTGTCTGGCCTTGAGGTGGGCAGTGGCCCAAGCAAGCCCAGGTCCCTAACCCTCTCTGCTCCCACGCCCCTGGGTGCCAAGCAGGCCCCCTCGAAAATCCCTGGGACAGACCGGGGTCCTTTCTACTCCGAAGCCCCTCCGGCACACTACCCCCTCTGGGCCAACCCCAGCTCTGATTCCGGTTCTACTCACCCTTCAAGTAGTCTCCGCTGCCTGGCGTCATGAGACCGCGCGTCCCCGCTGCCCTGTCCCCCACAGGGGTCGTGTGGAGTGCCCCCGTCTGCGATCTTTCGGCGACTCTGCCTTTCGCCATGGCTGCTGCAGGGAAGGTGAAGGAAGAGAGGTGATGCTGCCCCAGCTTAACAACACCTCCGCCTCAGGCTCCTTACACCAGGGGCCGCAGCCGCAGCCACAGCCACTTCCGGGGCGACCACCTCACCTGAGACGACCTCAGCCCGGAGAGCACAGCGACGCTCGGCTGAAACCTACAGCGCCCACTCGGAGTAGGCTCCGCCCCGTGCCACCCCCGTGCCTCGCGCGCTCACGCTCGCCCAGTAACCGCGAGACAAGTCAGGGCCCTGGCCCACCCCGTTCACTGCCCCGCCCCTGCTCACGACTGTATAGAACATGCGCAGTCGCAGTCCCGGAGTCGGTAGTAGCTCGAGGACAAGAGGCATCTAATGCGCAGCTTTAATTATCCGGAAGTGCGGTCCTTGAAACTTCAAACCCTTTGTCCCGGCCGCCGGAAGTGCCCGCGAGTGATTAGTTGGCGTTTCGCAGCGAATGGTGATTCAGCTTACTGACTTCACCAATTCTCCAAGCGGCTGTCTTCACTCTGTCGGGTCTAGATGTTTCGTCTGAAAATGTTGAAAAATACAAAGCCTGAAGCGAACCGATCGAGTTTAAGGAAAGTTAAGGATCAGAGAGGAGCTGTAACCTGTGAAGGTCACAGGATGGCAGAAAAGGGTTTAGAGGCTTTCCCATTGCCTCACCCTGTCGCCCCTCACTAGCAAACCCAGGTCACCTCATTTAGCTTTTTCTTTCACTGAGCCCAAACGTGCCGTTGTTGACTGTTAACTTTTTCCACACTTAAATCTCAGAACAGTGTTCAGCTTACTGGTGAGTGTATTGGAATTTCCTCTTGAGAGCAACTTGGCAGTCTGTATAAAATACTGTTCCTATCCAGTAATTCTATTTCTAAGAAACTATTTCATGGAAGTAAGGATACACAGGGAGTTATTCCTAACAGCATTATTTATTAGTATAATGGTAAATGTGGAAGCAACCTAAAAACCCAACGCTAAACAATAGTTGACTAAATTATGGGAGCTTATTGAAGGGAACTGTTCTATGTACACAACCTCTGCCTACTTGCATTAACACCTTCAGAGGCACCTGGGTGGCTCAGTCGGTTGAGCTTCCGACTTGGGCTCAGGTCATGATCTCACAGCTCGTGAGTTTGAGCTCTGCGTGGGACTCTGCTGACAGCTCAGAACCTGGAGCCTGCTTCTGCTTCTGTGTCTCCCTCTCTCTCTGCCCCTAACCCACTTGCATTCTGTCTCTCAAAAATAAATACACGTTAAAAAAAAAATTTTTTTTTTAAAGACCTTCAGTGACCACTCTAGGAGGTAGCTCCCCATTTTATTTCCTTCATGATCGTCATTAAAAGCAATTATTATTTGGATTATTTGTTTACTTGTTCATTGCCACCTCTACAATGTAAGGGCCTTGTCTTTTTGTTCACCATTGTATCCCCCAGCAGCTGACAGAGTGCCAGCATCTAAGTGGGCATTCAATAAATTCGTTGAATAAATGTTCAACCATAGAAAATTATATTTATGAAGAGATTAATAATGTGGAAAATGCTTATTCAAAAATTCAAAAAAGTGGGGCACGTGGGTTAAGTGACTGACTCTTGATTTCAGCTCAAGTCATGATCTCATGGTTGGTGGGATCAAGCCCCCCAGTGCAGAGCCTGCTTGGGCTTCTCTCTTCTCTCTGGCCCTGTCCTACTCGTGTGCCCACACTAGCGCACTCTTTCAAAATAAAAAACTTTAAAAAAAAGAAAAGACAAAAATTCAAAGAAGTATAAAAAACAAAAATATGAAATACTTAAAGTAAATTTATATTTTTAGGATAAAGTATTTTTGTTTTCTGTATTTTTATTTATTTTTGTGATGTAATCTCTATGCCCAACTTGGGGCTCAAATTCATACCCCAAGATGAAAAGTCACATGCTCCACCCACTGAGCCAGCCAGGCATCCCAGGATAGAGAGTCTTCAGTAAGATACAACAATTTTTTAGCATTTGATATATTTTATTACATAAAAAAGTTAAAAGTATAACAAAAGCACCAAAAGAAAAAAAACAAAACAAAACCCAGGAACAGACTGAGAAAAAATATTGCCACGTAAAAAAGAATTACTACAAATTGGGGGAGTGCCTCTCTGGCTCAATCCATGGAGCATATGACTCAATCTTGGGGTCGTGAGTTCAAGTCCCATATTAGGTGCAGAGATTAATTTAAAAAATAATTACTACAAATTAGTAACAAAAGCACAGCTCAACAGAAAAGCAAACAAAGGATATGAATAGTCAATTCTCAGAAGAAAAAGTTAAATAGCCAACAAATTAGGAAAAGATGAACAACCTCATTAATGCCGTGTGATAACACTGACTGAGAGGTACATAGAATGCACTAGCAGAAGAGGGGTAGCTAAATTAGAGTGGGTTGCAGTGAAGGTCTCCTAGGTAGAATGAACATTAAGCTGATTTAAAGGACGAATAGGAAGGGTGCCTAGGCGGCTCAGTCAGTTGAGTGTTCAACTCTTGATTTCAGCTCAAGTCATGACCTCAGGGTGCCAGATAAAACCCCTGCATGGAGTCTACTTAAGATTCTCTCTCTCCTTCTTCCTCTCTTCTCCTGCTCACAAGCTTGTTCTCTCTCTAAATACAAATATAGGATGGCTAGGAATTAGCAAAAGAAAGCAGAAGGAAACTTGCAAAAACTGGAAGCTACTACTAATCTCTGAAAAATAAGTGCAAGCAAAGAGTGGGAGAATGGAAAGAAATGAGATGAGAGAGATAAGACAAAGGACTTGTCACAAAGTGCTGGAAGTATGAACTTAATGCTCAAAGATACCTGAAATCATTGAAGAACTTTTAACTGGAAAGGGACATATTAAGATTAGTATTTACAAATCTTATTCTGACTTCTCGGTGATAGAATTGAGGAGTGTCCCAATAGCAGCAGAAAGACAAGGTAAGAAATTATTTTTTGTTAATTATTTATTTTTTAATTTACATCCAAGTTAGTTAGCATATAGTGTAACAATGATTTCAGGAGTAGATTCCTTAATTCTTCTTACCCATTTAGCCCATCCCCCCCCACAACCTCTCCAGTAACCCTCTGTTTGTTCTCCATATTTAAGAGTCTCTTATGTTTTGTCCCCCTCCCTGTTTTTATATTATTTTTGCTTACTTTCCCTTATGTTCATCCGTTTTGTACCTTAAAGTCCTCATATGAGTGAACTCATATGATATTTGTCTTTATCTGGCTAATTTCACTTACTGTAATACCCTCTAGTCCCATCCATGTAGTTGCAAATGGCAAGATTTCACTCTTTTTGTTTGCCCAGTAATACTCCATTTTATATAATACCACATCTTTTTCATCCATTCATCCATCTATGGAAATTTGCGCTCTTTCCATACTTTGGCTATTGTCGATAGTGCATGTGCCCCTTCGAAACAGAATACCTGTATCCTTTGGATAAATATCTAGTGGTGCAATTGCTGGGTTGTAGGGTATTTCTGTTTTTAGTTTTTTGAGGAATCTCCATACTGTTTTCCAGAGTGGCTGCACCAGTTTATATTCCCACCAGCAGTGCAAAAGAGATCCTGTTTCTCCGCATCCTCACCAACACCTGTTGTTGCCTGACTTGTTAATTTTAACCATTCTGACAGGTATGAGGTGGTTTCTCTTTGTGGTTTTGATTTGTATTTCCCTGAGTGATGTTGAGCATTTTTTCACGTGTTTGTTAGCCATCCGGATGTCTTCTTTGGAAAGGTGTCTATTCATGTCTTCTGCCCATTTCTTCAGTGGATTATTTGTTTTCTGGGTTTCGAGTTTGATATGTTCTTTATAGATTTTGGGTACTAACCCTTTATCTGATATGTCATTTACAGATATCTTCTCGCATCTGCCAGTTGCCTTTTAGTTTTGCTGATTGTTTCCTTCGCCGTGCAGACGCTTTTTATTTTGGTGAGGTCCCAATAGTTCATTTTTGCTTTTGTTTCCCTTGCCTCTGGAGACACGTTGAGTAAGAAGTTGCTGCGGCCAAGGTCAAAGAGGTTTTTGCCTGCTTTCTTCTCGAGGATTTTGATG